GCAGCAGAAAAGCGGTTCAGTTCAAGGGTGAACCATTTCCCAGTGATTCAGTCCATCCATGGTGGCTTTTTGTCATTGTACCAAGTTTATAGGTGAAATGTACTTAGCAATACATCCTCATCAGGATTAAATCATTAAAGAAGAAAAAAAAATTGACTCAGCTTTCTGGAAAAGGTCCTGATGGCGGTCTTGTTACCATGGACTGCAGGCTACGCCCCACAGTCGGTCATCACCCAGGGCCTAGTCCCTGCTGGAGTGGGGGCACTTAAGTCCTAAGGCTGTCCTTTACCTTGCCTCCAAAGGACGCTGAATCCAGCAGGCACTTCCCAAATTTTCTCCCTAAGAGCCTTTATTGAAAGCCCCTGCTGTTGACTGGTGTGCCTGTTGTTTGGAACCTATTAAATTTCTACCCCTTGGATACCGGCACTGAACTCTCATTAACTCCAGGGGGAATTGGTGTTGTTTGTAACAACAAACAGAATCAGGGTTTTATGTTTTGCTGAGACCAGAGGGTTTGGAATACTTTCAGGTACAGGCAACCTTGGGCCAGACCTCCCTGCTCACTGAGCAGAACCTTGGTTTCCCCTCTTGTTTCCTGGTGAGTTTGAGCAAAGCGCCCTGGCCAGCTTTAAACGGCTTACAAGTGTGTTAATTTTTATCGATCCCCCCCTTCCTATAGAAGAATTAAATAATTTTTTTTTGAGACAGTCTCACTGTGTTGCCCTCGGTAGAGTGCCATGGCGTCATAGCTCACAGCAACCTCAAACTGTCTCGGCCTCCCATGTAGCTGGGACTACAGGTGCCTACCACGATGCCTGAGTACTTTTTTTTTTTTTTTTTTAGTTGTTGTAGTTGTCATTGTTGATTGGCAGGCCCAGGCTGGGTTTGAACCTGCCAGCTCCTGTGTATGTGGCTGGTGCCCTAACCACTGAGCAATGGCGCTGGAGCCAGAGAATTGAAGTTCAATTTTGAAGTTCAATACGGACTTGAAGAGGGCTCTTCAGTAGGGTCTGATGTTTATAATCGTTAGCACTGGGCACACCTCTGGGAAGGTGAAGTGGGCTGTAGCCCTGCTTCCCAAGAAATTGCGTTGATGTATGACACGGTGGCATGTGGTTCATGGGTCCTTGAAGCACTGTCTTGGACTCCAGGCAAGAACATCTCGTCTAGTCCCTTTCTTTTCCTGTCTTCACTTTTTACAGATGAGTCCCGAGGCCGTGAGAGGTAAAGGGACTCGGCTGGGGCCGATTCCTGTTTAGGTTCATTCTCCAGCCTTGCTTACTTGCTTCCTTCTATTTGCGGAGTCCTGAAGCAAGCCCTTGGATAGCGGTGGGGAAGCTGAGGAGATTGGCTCACTGGTGTGGAATAGGATTCGCTAGTCAAGGGAACTCATCCCTTAAACATATACCAAATATTTCAAACTAGACATTCCCTTGCGTAGCTTAGATTGTCCATGGAGGAGCTGGGGAGCAAGGGCTGAAAGCATTGAGCATGTGGATCCATGTTTGGTCCTGTTTAAGTGCCCTGTTCTCCAGCTCAGTGACTCTTAAAGAGGGTAGTACCACTTCTTGGAGAGTGTTTGGGAACTTTGTACTTTTTGTTGTGACCGTGCGTTGAGGGGTGGAAGTGAGTGGCAGAGTGCAGAGTGAGGCCGTCCTTGCATGAGGAAGAGCTGTCCCTCCCAAAGTTCAATAGCCCTTCATTGAGAAACACTGAAACACACAACTTGCTTTTCCTGGACGTCCCCCTCAGTTTCCCTTTGCTAAATCTTTGTGCTCTCAAAATTACAGACCAAAAACATAACAAAACCAAATCCTCTGCCCTGTGGCTTTCGGTTTTTGACCTGAGCCCCCAACACCTTTGTGAAACATCCATACGGCATTTTGGGGGTTTATCAGATCCACGTCTCCCTCCTGTGGGCTTCAAGCCTTTGGTGAATGAATGGCCCCAACTTCACCCATCTGGGGACGTTTCTCCCCGTGAGTCACGCCTCCCTCATCTGCTCATTATTGGTTTTGCTTTGCACCTGCTGCTTTTTAATGTGAAATTAAACCTTCTAAATACTTTTTGGGAAGTTGTCTGGGCCCATGATAAATACGGTACACAAGGGTATGTGGTAAAAAATAATCCCCCCCCCACTCCCTGCTGGTTCTCCCTGAGGCTACCACCAGTCTCTAGGTAGAGCTCTGTAACACTTTTGAGTTCATCTAGGACATTCTGGGTTTATGCAAACAATGATATGTATGTTGCATTCTTTTATTTATTTATGTATTTTTGAGACAGAGTCTCACTATGTCACCTTTGGTAGAGTGCCATGGCGTCACAACTCACAGCAACCACAAACTCTTTGGCTTAAGCAATTCTCCTGCCTCAGCCTCCTAAGTAGCTGGGACGACAGGAGCCTGCCACAACACCAGCTATTTTTCTGTTGTAATTGTGGCATTGTTGCTTAGGTGGCCCAGGCTGGGTTTGAACCTACCTGCCAGCCTCAGTGTATGTGGCTGGCGCCATAACCACTACGGGCGCCGAGTCTGTGTTGTAGTCTTAATGGGAGGTGTGTGTTAGTCCATTAATGGTGCTACATACACATTCCTTTTTTAACTTGATGCAGAAGCTTAGGGATTGTCATACATCTGTAGAGGTGACTCTTATTTTTCTTTTTCTTTTTTTTGGGAGGCATCAGGTAGAGTGCCATGGCATCAGCCTAGTTCACAGCAATCTCCAACTCTCTAGGGCTCAAGCAATCCCCCTTCCTCAGCCTCCCAAGTAGCTGGTACTATCTTAGGCATGTGCCACAACCCTTGGCTAATTTTTTTCCTATTTTTGGTAGAGGCAGTCTTGCTCTTGCTCAGGCTGATCTTGAACTTCTGGGCTCAAGTAGTCCTCTCACCTTGGCCTCCCAGAGTGTTAGGCTTACAGGTGTGAGCTACCGTGCCTGGCCTCACTTATTTTTCTTAATGTCTGCAGAGTAGGCCATTATAGGACTGTAACATATTATTAGATCAGCCCTCTGTTTGTGGGCCTTGAAGGGGTTTCCGGGCTTACGTACAGCACGTGGTGCTGCATTTGAATCATCCTGCACATGCTTTGCTCTCCTGTGATTGTTACAGAAGGCATTTCTGGGAGGAGATTGTTGAGTCAAAGGCAAGGTGGAGTGAGTGAGAGTTTTCACCAATGATGGTGGAGTAGGGTGAAGACCCCTCTGGGAATGAGAGGAGGTTTTCTCTGGGGGAACATGGTGACCCCAGGTTGTACCTTTGTAGGGAGCTTTCTCACTAACTAGCTGTTGTGTGCCTTGGGGCCAACCCTTTGTGTTCTCTGGACCTACTATTGATGTCTGTGGGGTGATTCTCAGACTCTGGGGTCTGTTCACCCTCAAGGCGCCTGTGACTAGCATTCAGTTTCCTCTCAGGGCTGGGTCTCAGAGAGGCTGGAGAGCTCCATCTTGTGGGCTGGGTTTTGGGAAAGCCCTTCATGGTCTGCCTTTGTGAGTCTGCTGGAAGATGCTTTGTCTTCCCATCAAAAGCAAACCACTGGGAGGTGGCACGTGTGGCCCTGTTGGAATGGACCCTCTTAATCTGCATGGGTGACTTGTCTGCACACGGGGGAGAGAGAGACAGTGAGGTACCACGCACCCTTCATGCTGGCACTTGCCCAAGCGGCACAACTGGGGGAGGAGTGTCTTTGGAGATAGTCATCTTTCTGGATGTCACATCCCTTTTGTATCTTGGCAGTAGCTCTCCTTTTCTGGTGTCTGTGGCTTTCATTCCTCAGGATGTAAGCTATACCAAGCTGTACCATTGTATGGTCCCTCTGCTAAGAAGACCAGCATCGGGCATGGGACGGATTCAAGGCCTTGCAGGTGAAGACTGGATGGCTGGTGGTGGAAGGGGACATGTGTTTAAATGTGATGCTGGGAGATGAAAACATGGGGTGGATTGACAAGAGTAGGGCTGGCATTTTGCAGGTGAGAATTAGGGGGAATATGATTGGCGTTGATCTCTTTCGAAGAGGGTCTCAAATGTGATACCTGCGGTTTTGGGTCCCTGAGAACCTTCTGGTGGGTGGGTGTATTCTTTTTACACATTTACCATATACTCTGTTAGCCTAATCAATGTGAATAAATGCTTTTGTCTTCCGCAAAGAACACCTGTGCTTCATTTCCTTGAAATGTGTGGGCTTTCTGTCTTTCATGGTTTCCTGCTTGTACCGTCAGGAGTGGATATGGAGAAGAAGTGTTTCTTTGGAATAAGAACAATATTGGTGCCTGGGTGGCAACTCTTGGTAGCTTGATCATGGCCTTGTTTGTCAATAGGGACACAGTAAGGAAGAGTGGTGATTGTGGCAACATGGAGAGCTCATTTCCATCTAAAGCGGGTGGCTGTGAATCCACTAAGTGTGGTGCCATGAGGGCACATATGTGCCTGGTCTTTTTTAAAAGACAAGCTGGCTTGGCGCCTATGGCTCAAGTGGCTAAGGTGCCAGCCACATACACCTAAGGTGGCGGGTTCAAATCCAGCACGGGCCACCAAACAACAATGACGGCTGCAACCAAAAAATAGCTGGGCGTTGTGGCGGGCACCTGTGGTCCCAGCTACTTGGGAGGATGAGGCAGGAGACTCGCTTGAGCCCAGGAGTTGGAGGTTGCTGTGAGCTGTGATGCTACAGCACTCTATCCAGGGTGACAGCTTGAGACTCTATCTCAAAAAAAAAAAAAAAAAGACAAGCTAAAAATCTAGATTTTTTTTTTACCCGAAGTTTTCTAACTTTTATATTTTGGCAACAAATTAAGATTTTATAAAAAATGTTATGTAGGTTGCAGAAAGACTTGACCTCTGAGACAGACAATGAGGAGGGCAGGTAGAGGCTAGGAGGAGGACCATTGACGTGGCATCTGGGAGTTTGGGGGACAAAATGTGCTGTGTCCCACACTCTGTTCCCCAGGGGCCCTCAGCCTCCCTGACTGCTTTAAAACATGTGTTTCTGTGTGTTTCTTTCAGATCCTGCCTCTACAGAGAGAACAGCCCAGAAAAGAAAGTTCCCCAGCCCTCCACATTCTTCCAATGGCCACTCACCACAGGACACACCATCAAGCCCCATTAAAAAGAAGAAGAAACCCGGTTTACTGAACAACAGCAATAAGGAGCAGGTAAGGGGGCCACTGGCAGCAGTGTCCATGCACTGAGGTCCCTGGGTCTTTCTAAGAGCCAGTGTCCTCTGCATTAGCCTTGTGTGGTTGTCATTTGCATGGGGCAGAAAGGGCAGCTCACAGTGGGGCTGTGTAGGAATTTCCAGTGGGTTTTCCGATCTGTTTTGGGGACAGACCAGTGGCCCAGATGAGATGAGGGCATTCATTGTTCTTTAGGGCACGGGACTTTTCCTTGGGTTAATGTTTCTCATGTGGCCTGAGGACTTCCCCGCCTCCTGGGCCTGGCCAGTGGGACTGATTGCGAGCTCTGTGTGGGGGTGGCTGCCTGGCGGAGGCATGCCCCCTTCTGGTCTCAGTTTTCTCATCTGTAAAATGAGAGGTTTAGGTCTATGTTAAGAGGCACTGCCTGAGGTAGGCTCAGGTGGTTGGTCACACACAATCCCTTCTCATGGGACAGACACTGGGTAGCCGGACTCCTTCCCCACCCCACCTTCCCCTGGCGGCCAGGGCCAGCCAGCTGGATATGGAAAATCTCATTCACTATTTGGATCTTGTCTAAGGAAGCTTCTAGCTTTAAGATTCTTTGATGGAGGCTAGACACTTCTGATATTAAAAAAAAAAAAGAAACTGTAAGGTGCCTTAGTGGACTTCCTGGTAGGATCTACTCATCCCCCTTTGGACTGTGAGATCAGACCTCCTAGCATTGAAAGAAGCTCATCCCAGTGGTTATGGGGTCTCTTGGCCTTCACCAGTGATCCCTGGGGATGCATTTGTCCGCCACACTCAGTGTGTTACTGAGTTCTGGAGAGGCCCTGGGGATTTAAGGCTGAATGAAATAGGATTGTTGTCTTCATGGGCAGAGACCTCACAATGGTTGAATGCTGGGGCCTTGGAGAGGTGTGTGTTTCTGAGCACAAATCTATTTTCAATCTCAAGATTACATAGTGAAATGTCAGCTCTGCTTTTGCTGTGTGGCTCTGGGCAAGTTAACCTCTTTTGTGCCTGGTTTTCTCTTCTACTGAAACGGGGGTTAATGATATTACCACTAATTTTATAGGGTTGTTGTGAAGATGAATAGGGCTGAATGACAATAATAATAACAATAATAATTACGCCAGTTAAGCAGGATGATCGTGTAGTCTATACATGAAATAAACAATATCTGTAAGAAAAGGTCACATCCATTATGTTAGCCACAAGCCACGTGTGCCTCTGGAGCCCTTGGAAGTGGCAAGTGTGACTGAAGAACTGAGGTTTTCATTTTATTTAAATTGAAGCAGCTACCAGTGGCAGGTAGCTACCATATTAGATCAGGTCTAAGTGAGTTACGATTCCCTTTACAGGAAAAGAAACTGGGGGGCTCTAAATAAATGTTGAGGGACATCATCATGCGTAATAGTGTTGGCAGTGATAATGCTAACGGCAGTATTTGCCTAGGTCATCTGCTGGAATGACACTCGTGCGAGGAAGGGCTGTATTGTCTCCATTTATAGGAGAAAACGCAGAGGTTCAGAGAGGCTCAAGTTACCTCTTCAAGGTCTGAGGACAAGTAAGAAGCTGCATGTGAGCTTAGGTCTGTCTGACTGGTTTAAATCCACCGACTCCCTCCCTCTGTCACCCAGGAGCCATCTTATAGCTGTCAGGACTGAAGACTTTAAAGAGACATGAAGGCCATACAGATAATCCTCAAATTGAAGTTAGGCAGTAATTCAACTTCCTTCCTAGTTACCACTAAGACCAGTTGTCCCTTCTGGGGGGGTAAATAGTCTCCTCCTCCCCCTCCCGCCTGTCCCCTCCTCCTTCCCCCTCCTCCTCTCTGGCTGTGATGCCGACACACATTTCTGAGTTTCTCCTTGTCTTTTGCGTCCCTTTTTCTGGAAGCTGATTGAGTTGGGCAGTTGAGGTGTTTTCTTCTCTCCCTTCCCCATCTGTGTGTTAACACCATTTCTAGAACACTCGAGCCTTGTGACCACAAAGATGTATTTGTAAGTCTTTGACCCCTTTCTGGACTAGCAGCCTCAGAAAAGTGTCCACTGTCTAGTACTGCTGCCACGCCCAAGTGAGACGCAGAGTGGAGCTCGCTTGGGTGTATGGGACATGGCAGACCCTGAGTGAGAGGATGCCGGGTGTGACTCTGCTCCTCACTCACTAGTCATCTTTGGTATTGATGGTGGAGGGGAAATGTCCACCTGACGCCAGGCTCGCTCTGGTTGGTGCCATCTGGGAGGCTGGCATGGTGACCTTGTCACTTGCTTTCCCCTCTTTGAGCCTCAGTTATCTTGTCAATAGGGGTTTGAACTAAGAACATCATAGGGTTTATTCTAGGTTTGTTTTTTTGAACGGAAACTCCAGGCAGAGAAGAGCCAGGAGACTTTTGTGGGCAAAGAATTTAGAGCCTTAACTAAAGAGGAGCGATTCCTGACTTTTGACCCCATCATTCCTCCCAACACACTACATTTGCATAGCAGGGACCATCTCTCCCATGTACAATCTGTTTTCCTCAAGGAGAAATTAAATCCTTAAAAAAAATTATGCTGGACGCCTGTTCTTTTTTCTCCCTTCCTCCTTTTCTTCTGTTTTAAGAATTAAGAAGTGAAAGGCAGCCGATTTTGGTCTACAGATAACCTGTGTTTGATCAACATAATGTAATTTCTATGAGTCACATCATTTGAGGATCATGAGAGTTTCAAATAAACCCTTACATTTCTGGGTCCTTACAAAAACTCAAGTGTCTCCATCTATGTGGGCTGCAGTATCAAAATATCATAGATGGTGACTTGTAAATAGCAGACATTGATTTCTCAGTTCTGACAGCTGGAAGCCTAAGATTAGAGTGCCAGCATGACGGGTTCTGGTGAGGTCTTCTTCCTGTTGTCCTCCTGTGGCAGAAAGGGTGAGGGTCTCTCCGTTATCTCTTCTCTTTATTATTTTTATTTTAAAATTTTTTATTTATTTTAGAGACAGGGTCTCATTCTGTTGCTCAGGCTGGAATGTCATAGCATGATCTTAGCTTACTACAACCTCGAATGCCTAGGCTCAGGGATCTTCCTGCCTCAGCCTCCCAAGTAGCTAGGACTATAGGTGTACACCATGACCATCTAAGATTAAAAAAAAAAAATTGTGGCCAGGCACTGCGGCTTATGCCCATAATCCTAGCACTCTGGGAGGCTCAGGCAGGTAGATCACTTGAGGTTAGGAGTTCGAGACCAGCCTGAGTAAGAGTGAGATGACATTTCTGCTAAAAACAGAAAAATTAGGTGGGTATTGTGGGGGATGCCTGTAGTCCTAGCTACTTGGGAAGCTGAGGCAGAAGGATTGCTGGAACCCAGCAATTTGAGGTTTGCTGTGAGCTATGCTGGTGGCTAGGGCGCTCTAGCTTGGGGCAAGAGAGTGAGACTCCATCTTGAAACAAATTTGCATTTTTGTAAAGACAGTAGTGCGAGGGGGTTTTACTTTGTTGCCCAGGTTGATTTTGAACTCCTAGGGGATCAAGGGATCCTTCTTCCTCTGCCTCTGAAAGTGCTGGGATTATAGGGGTGAGCTACTATGCCCTGTGGGAATCTCTTTTATAAGGGCACTAATCCCATGCATGAGGGCAGAGTCCTAATCATTGCCAAATGGTTCCACCTAGGGTTTGAATTTCAACATAGGAATTTGAGGGTGGGGAGACAGAAACATGTAGTCTATAACACTTACAAAAATCCAGCAACAGCTGGAGCTAAGCAGAGCCTACCCCTTTAGACACAGGGCCTGTGCCCGCTTATTTTTTTTATACTCCCCACCCCTCCCTGGAGTCTTACACTCTCTGCCTGTTCTGCTCATCCCATCTGCCTCTGGGCCTCTCTATGAGCCCTCATTTTGACTTTTGGCATATATCAATATTCTCCATCTCTTACTACCTTTTCTTCACTCTGATTTCTCTGTGTATCAGTGGTCTAGAAAGAGAGCAATTCTGGGCTCGGCGCCTGTGGCTCAAGTGGCTAAGGCACCAGCCACATACACCTGAGCTGGCGATTTTGAATCCAGCCCGGGCTGCCAGACAAAAATGATGGCTGCAACCAAAAAATAGCTGGGCTGTAACTAAAAAATAGCCGGGCATTGTGGCGGGTGCCTGTAGTCCCAGCTACTTGGGAGGCAGAGGTAGGAGAATCACTTGAGCCCAGAAGTTGGAGGTTGCTGTGAGCCGTGATGCCACAGGGCAACAGCTTGAGGCTCTGTCTCAAAAAAAAAAAAAAAATAAATAAAAAAAAGAGAGCAATTCTGACCTTGTAAAAAACAAGCAAACCGTATGTTTCCTTTTTTTAAATTTTTTTTTTGAGACAGTCTCGCTGTGTTGCCATTGGTAGAGTGCTGGGTGTTACAGCAACCTCAGCTTCCCAAGTAGCTGGGACTATAGGCGTCTACCACAACACCCAGCTATTTAAGTTGTAGTTGTTATTGTTTGGAGGGCCCGGGCTGGATTTGAACCTGCCAGCTCTAGTGTATGTGGCTGGCACCCTAGCTGCTTGAGCTACAGCCGCCGAGCCATGTTTCCATTTTTAATGGAGACCTTTTATTACTATGTAGAGATACAGGTTGAGTTTTAACTTTGGCCCCTATTTTTTCATATATTGGTAATTTATTACTTTTAGGAGAGTTTTGTAAAAAGTCCTTTGGTACAGTGGTTTCACCCCGTGGCAAAGGTTTGGGAGTGTGTGGGAGGATACAGTTTGTGGAGGAGGGTCGAGTCTCTAAGTGTCCTTCAGTAGAGGGGGAAAGAAATGTCCTGCTCAAAATGTCATCGGAGCCTTTATTGCTAAATGCCACTCTAAATGGTTCTCAGGACATTTTGAGTTCAAAGCATCCTTCTGGAAAGTGTGTTTTCTTCCCTCGTTAGAGAATCGAGAAATAATCTGGTAGCAGATTTGTATGCTAGGTATATCTTTGATCAAATTTGGCAAAGAAATAATGGGGCCCCTCCTTACCTCCCCTGAGTACGGAGTGTGTACACATCATAAAAG